CTAGACCTGCTCTATTTGAAAAGTGGTCCTGAGATAACTTCTGTTATGAATTGGCGCTATACAAATAAAATTGAATTGAATTAAAATAATAAAAATCTTCAAAGTATATGTTGACCACTCTACAAGACAGGGCCACCAAAATTAGGTAAATAACCACAAACAAGAGGCTATTACATAGGCTTGATTACATCAGTTGATATTGTGATTAAGTGTTGCATATTCCTAAACCAATTTGCATGCCATACCTGCCAATAGTTCCTCATAGGACGCTGATTGGAACCCCTATAGTTTGGACACAAGCACGAGAGCTTGATGCCTGGCAAGATGGATTCTTGCATTATCTCGTGATTTTGTGATCTTAGGAGTCCAGCTCCCTCGCAGGGTTAATAGTTTGTAACACGGGCGGGGTAATTCTATATTATTTACCTTGCTATGGTCCTGACGGAGGATAAAATGATTGTTGTGAAGGGTCTGTGTTTTTGGAATACACATAATAATCATCCAACAATTACTACAATGACAATATTTTATTTCTTTAGCAGAAAGTAGTCACTATGTAGACTTTTCAGAGTGAAGTCTTTGGATTATCCAGAATATCCAGGACATAGTTCAAGGAATTTAAAAAGTAAGAAAAATATGCTATAGAATTTTACAAAATTTTGTAATTTGGGTGAACAGTGTGTGTTTAAACCCCCAAACAACTACATAGCAGTGCTATGCTATGCATAAACAGTAGTGGCATCTTCTTCATACTAAGACAGTTTTCCTAAAATTTAATTTTTTTTAATTGCAGTATATTGCAGTATAGTGAATGTGTGTATGCTATGGCCTGATTTTTACCCATACACAGCCCTAATGGATAACAACTCACTGTGAACAATTTTTAAACTGTTATTAGCTATTTTTTGTGTAGCTTCATATGCTTTTGCACAATATCAAACTATTTAATAACAATTTTAGGTTAGGAGTCCTCTGGCTCCAAGGTTTGGAGTTACTCCATCATTGTTCAGCAGCAGTGTAAAAATAGCCAACAGACAGAATAATAGAAGATGCTGTAAAACATAAATCTCCAGCAGCATATCCTCAGCTCTATTTCTATGAATGGATAAGGCATTTCCCCGGGACTGATCAATGTTAGCAATGGCCCTTGCTGGAGATGATTATAAAAGGACACAAGGGGGATTCCCCCAAGCAGAAAGCATGAATGAACGTCAGAGCCGTAACCAAGCTGAGTGTGGGTTAATTACCTTCCTCTACCCCGGACCACGGGTCAATAGACCGGATGTGTCAAGGTGATGCATGTTACAGCAAAGTGTTACAAGCAAAGTGCTTAGAAAAAGGTCTTTCTCAATTAAATGAATTTATGCCAACGTCAATATTTCAGTGGTGGGAAATGGAGTGAGACTGGTATTGACTCCGAGCGTGTGGAGAGTGATGGGACAGAGGCTCATCCTGATTAGTGATTGGAGGAAGCACGGTTGTGATTGTTTCTCTTCTTGTCATTTGTCATGTGTAGCTCTCCACATTTCCCATCCACCCCCACTTTTCAATTACAGCCTTGTTTATTTCAAAAACTTAGACAACGAGTAGAGTAGTCTCTCTTTCTGTACATTTCAAGACTTTTAATACCTTTAAACAACTGACCCTTCCGAAGCCACGCACCTTTTGCTTTTGGGCAGTCATCTTCCTCCTTTCCTATACTTAGAAATGTGATGTGCTAGGCTCCTCTATGTTGAAAAGACTCATTTTGAAGCTAGCTAATCTACATAAATCATTGGCTAGCATAATCAGATGTAACTAGCTAGCTGGCAATTAATGTAGATTGGCTAGCTAGGTAGCTAGCATTTTACTATAAGTTAACTAACTTAAGATATATTGCTTTTATCTTTTGACCATCTTCAAAATTGTCTTTTCAACAAAGATTAGCCTAGCACATAGAATATGTAAGTATAGGGAACGTGGAAGTTGACAGAGGTTACTTATTATATTTTTTTAATTAATTTTTAATTAATTTGTGGTGTTAATAAAATACAACTAAAGTTTTAAAAAGTTGTATATATAAAAGTATATATTGTATAACATAATTCCCAAAAATCATTTGTACAAAGACACAAGGTTACATAATTCGATAGCTTTGTGAGTGTTATTTCTAGTTCCCAGATGGTTTCCCCCTTATTCCCTAACTTCTCATCATGTTCCCTTGTACTTCCAGCCTTTCTATTGTACTTCCTTCTGAGGAAATAATAGGAGGTATGAAATGAAGCGTTGCTGGTTTTGTATTGCGCTGTGATGTTGCAGTAATCAGAATTCATTAGCCCAAGGTTTGGATAATGCTTGCACTAATCAATACTTCTCAGAATCACAGTCTGAAAGGTTACTAGTTGCGGACCACTGAATCAAACACCCACTGTCATTTCTCCTCACTCCCCCGCTTTAGGCCTGTGTGTTTGTGTGTGTGTGACATATAGTATTGAATGCAGCCATGTAAAGATAGAAACACACAAACACATGCAGGAGACTGAATACACACATTCATTCTATCCAGTAGACTTGATGCAGTGAACATGTGCTTTATTGGTTGATTGATTGATTAATTGTTATCCCTGAGGGGAAATTGCTGCAATTCACGCATTTATCTCATTAATAGACT